AGGAAATTTGAAACAGCCACCCAGATCCAGCCGCTGCTGAAACTGACCAGCGGCTGACTACAGGAAGCCCGAGGCAGAGTTGCTCTGCCCCAAGCTTCCTGGAATCAGCCGCTGATCAGTTTCAGCAGCAGCTGACTTGGGGACGCCTGGGTTTCTTAAGTTGAATCTGTATGTAAGTCAGAACTGGCGTCCAGATTCAGCCGCGGTTGAAAATGATCAGTTTCAGCAGCCGCTGACGCCAGTTCCGACTTACATACAGATTCAACTTAAGAACAAACCTACAGTCCCTATGTGCTTCCTGGAATCAGCCGCTGATCAGTTTCAGCAGCAGCTGACTTGGGGACGCCTGGGTTTCTTAAGTTGAATCTGTATGTAAGTCAGAACTGGCGTCCAGATTCAGCCGCGGTTGAAAATGATCAGTTTCAGCAGCCGCTGACGCCAGTTCCGACTTACATACAGATTCAACTTAAGAACAAACCTACAGTCCCTATGTTGTACGAAACATGGGGACTGCCTGTACTGGTTGTAGTCTAGACGCTCTTTTTTGAAAGAGGCTTACAGTCTAGACGTAGCATCAGTGGAAAAGATGACATTTTAAATTGTGATTTTATTCTGTCTGGGATCTTTTACTCTTTCATGACCATAGCATAGGAGCTCCTTTCAGTAGTGTAGTAAGTAACATGACTGATCACTGTCACTTGTAATACATTCTTCTTGCTTATCCCCTCCCAAGGGGGAGAATCCTGCATGACAAGTAGTTTGGGTCAGGTTTTGTTTTTATTTTTAAATGGACATCCTACTGTGTTTTTTGTGGTGCAGAAGGAAGGTTGAAGAAATGTGCATAGAATCATAGAATACTACGACTGGAAGGGACCTCGAAAGGTCATAGAGTCCAGTCCCCTGTCCTCATGGCAGGATCAAATACTGTCTAGACCATCCCTGATAGACATTTATCTAGCCTACTCTTAAATATCTCCACAGATGGATATTCCACAACCTCCCTGGGCAATTTATTCCAGTGTTTGACTACTCTGACAGTTAGGAACTCTTTCTTAATGTCCAACCTAAACCTCCCTTGCTGCAGTTTAAGACCATTGCTTCTTGTTCATCTTGGCCTCTGAGGATAAAACAAGTTTTCTCCCTCCTCCTTATGACACCCTTTTAGATACCTGAAAACTGCTATCATGTTCCACTTCAATCTTCTCTCTTCTAAACTAAACAAAGCCAATTCTTTCAGCCTTCTTTTATAGGTCATGTTCTCTAGACTTTTAATCATTCTCGTTGCTCTTCTCTGGACCCTCTCCAATTTCTCCACATCCTTCTTGAAATGCGGTGCCCAGAACTGGACACAGTACTCCTCTGCGCTGGTTAGCCCTCAACTGTAGAGCGGAAGAATGACTTCTCGTGTCTTGCTCACAACACACCTGTTAATGCATCCCAGAATCATGTTTGCTTTCTTTGCAACAGCATCACACTGCTGACTCATATTCAACTTGTGGTCCACTATAACCCCTAGATCCCTTTCTACCATACTCCTTCCTAGACAGTTGCTTCCCATTCTGGAGCACTTTGCATTTGTCTTTATTAACCTTCATCCTGTTTATCTCAGACCATGTCTCCAATTTGTACAGATCATTTTGAATTATGACCCTTTCCTCCAGAGCAGTCGCAACCCCTCCCAGCTTGGTATCATCTGCAAACTCAATAAGCGTACTTTCTATGCCAATATCTAAATTGTTGATGAAGATATTGAACAGAGCCGGTCCCAAAACAGACCCCTGCAGAACCCCACTTGTTATGCCTTTCCAGCAGGATTGTGAACCATTAATAACTACTCTCTGAGTATGGTTATCCAGCCAGTTATGCAACCACCTTATAG